AATTATGTGACTGATGAAACGTGTCTACTCTATCATCTTTTTGTTTGCAATAGCCATCATTGCAATTGATTTGTATCAGCTATCAAAATACATGCCCTTATGCATGCAAACATGATCAAAACAATTCTGTGTTAAATATAGGAGCAGAGGAGGTGGTGACAAGCCACAGAGGCTAGGCTAAGGGGGAGAAGAGCTATGTTGTTTTACAGCATTTGATAACAATCACCAGTGATTTCTTCTCTCTGCCACCCTAAGTAACAGGAAATAGTCCCAATTACAGATAACATCAAAGCAGAAACAGAGTAAGTTAATGCTTCACCTCAGAATGTTACATTAAAAAACATTTTAAAAAGATTTCCAGTGAAGGACTTAGGTGAGGCACTATCAATGTGTTTCAATAGTAATTACTAGAAGTATATACACTATTTACTGCAGTTTAGATGATTTCTTAGCTATCAGCAACAGTGGACATGACCTTTTCAATTTATTAAAGGTTTACATGCTGATGTATATTTTAAAAGATAAACTTGGAAGTTTAGAAATGAATTTCTAAGAGTATAAGGACAGGCCTTCAAAGGTCATGTAGGTTCTATAAATTAGTCACTAGCACAGAATTAGTTCAGTATTTTTATTTTTCTGTAACTAAGCAATGAACTAAGAAACTGATATAATGTTTTAAGCTAAATTCTACAATTGGTGCTACATAGATTACATAACACATCACATAGTGTATATAACATGTAATGTACCTATATGTTATATACTATATAAATTCATATTAATATATTATTTAAAATGCCCAGTGTAGGCAAAATAAACCTCTAAGAAATGCAATGATAAAACAGGTAAAATCAATTTAATCATCTCAGCTTAAAATGTAAAGAACTTTCCAAAACTTTAAAGCCATGTGTTTTATAAAAACATTCCTTAGTTATTCATGGATTCTACCTTTGAAAATTTGCCCACTCACCAAAATTTATTTGTGAGGTTGGAGTGGTGGCTCAGTGGTTAAGAGCACTGGCTGCTCTTCCAAAGGACCTAGGTTCATTCCCCCCACCACACACACGGAGGTTACAACCACCCACAACTCCAGTTCCGGGGACCTGATACCCTCTTCCGGCCTCCAAGGGCACCAGGTACACTTGTGGTGCACATATATACAAAACACATAACACAACACATAAAATTTATTTGCAGTCTGTGTTAATTAGTGTTCCATAACTATGATAAATCCCTGAGATAATCACAGTCATTTTAGGGTTTCAGTCCATCACTGATACAGCATAGAGTAGAGTAAACTATCCACCTCATGGCTAGAAATGAGAGAGGAAGTGAAAAGCTTGGGTCCCATCATTGCCTTCAACAGCAAGCCTTCAATAACCTGATAGACCTTTACCCATGGCCACCTTTTCAAGATTCCACTGCAGCCCAGGAGTACCAATCTGACAACCAAGCACATGGCATCTCAGATCCTCACTAAACAACTCTAAAATCTACTGGTCACTTAGGGGCATATACAGAGTAGCACATCTAGCTACCTGTCTGTCTCTATCTATTTTTGAGTTGCCTAATAAGGCATCCTAGTTCAAGTGAGAGACAATGCTCTGCCTTCCTTCAGGCTAATGCCATGCTCTTCACACTTGTGTGGGTTTTGTTGATAGCAGAGTGCTGAAGCATCATCTGTGGTGTGCCTGATGAAGAGTATAAGGATTTCTGGAAGTTTCTGTCAGGAGATGATCATATTGTTCCCTTAGCCATGAGTCTATCAATAATATATGACTAATAAGTTGTCTTTAAAGAGAAACATAATAAGAAGGAAGGTTATATTTTATATGATTGGTTGAAAAAATTATGGGACCAGACTTCGAGAAATCTAAACCTCAGGGTATTTGTTCAACATAATATTTGCTAATCCAGCACCTGTGGTGATTTTAGGATGTATGTACCACAACAACATACTTTGATGTTATTAATTTCTTTATTATATTTTATTGTTTGTCTTCTTTTAAGAATATAAAATAGAAACTAGTACTAATCACAATATAAGATATAACTATGTCTTATTTCTTTAGTATTGGTTACATCAATTTTTCTAAGTCTGGAAATTCCACTAGATGACAATATATTGAGATGCCCTAGCCTATGAATCTCCTGGATCCTCCAGGTGCCTTGGTTTGGGGTAGAGTTTATCAGAGGCCTTGTGGTGAAAAGTACTGGCTAATGGACATCTCAAGGCACCTATGGAATATTCCAGTGCTGTTAACATCTAACTTGAGATTCAGGTATATGAATGAGCAGATGGCTGTATATGTCCTGTAAATGATTTAACAGCAGATCTTTGGCTGTTGCTATTCCATACTCTTTCCCTTTCCTTTTTTGTTTGGTTATAAGCCTTAAAATGATCCTAGAGGAGGAGGAATCTATTTCTTTGTTCAAAAACTTACCCTCCTTCCACCTGATCAACCCTTAGGTTGATACCAGGCCAGGCTGTTCTCATTAAGGTTTCCAGTCTTGTAATTCTCTCTTCGTGGCACAGGAGAAAGGACACAGACTTTGGAGTCAGACCTGGGATCAATTTCCAGCTCTGCCTTCTCAAAACCATAAAACCACTTTTTCATTTCTTACTGCTTGAGTCCCTGTGTGCTTAACTGCATGGGCAGATGGTCACAGTGCAGAAGGGTCTGGCATGGCTGTGGCACAGCACTCTGCCCCAGGGTTACAAACTCCAGGGTGGACTGAGCCTCATTCTTGTGATAGTTGCTTACTGATTTGCCATCAGGGACTAATGATTTGTTGTATTTTGAGACAGAGCCTTGCAGTGTAGCTCAGGCTGTCCTTGAATTCATGATCTTCTTGCTTCAGCCTCCTAGGCATGTGGATTAGAGAGGAATGACACCATAGCCATTTGGGTACATTTTTTTTTTTTTAAGTTGAAAATCCTAAAGATCACATATCAGTGCCAAAACAACCTCTCAACAAGGTGACTTTCTACTTTCACTTAGAGAATTTTCAGTGGCCCCTGGACAGACAGAAGTCTGTTTCCAAAGGCACACAAGCTTTTTAGATAGAGCTTTCACATTAGGCCTTGACTAGATGGTGTATTGAGGGTCAAAGAGTCAACTGTTACCTCCATACAGGAATCCCTCATTCAAACTGATGATGAAGTGGAGTGGGGATGGGCTGGGAGGAGGGAGGGGGACAGGAGGAGGAGTGGGAATGTAAAATGAAATTTAAAATAATAAATAAATTATAAAAAAGGAACACACATGACATGAAGAAATAAGAGGCCTTCAATGTCTCTAAGAAAGGAAAGGTATTTTTTTTTTTTGTTTGGTTGGTTTTTTGTTGTTTTGATTTTTTTTCCTTAGTGTAGACCAAGTACTCAGAAGGGTGTTGTGTATTTGGAGAGTATCGTTAGAATACAAGGTGTTGGCAAACATATATATATACATATATATATGTGTGTGTGTGTGTGTGTGTGTGTGTTCTAGTATGGTGTTGACTATATAATGATTAGAATAAGTTCTTTGTTGATAAACACAACACAGATTTGTGTTCTAGCTGGTTAATAATGTGCCAGGCTCTCATACTATATAGGTCTACTTTACAAGGTATTTTTTAACCTGTTATTCTTTCTCTTAAAAATTATTCATTTATTTATTTCTCTATTGCAACAAGGGGATGTAATGACTTGAGTGGATGAGGAGGGTTAAATGAAATGAGATGTTTTTAGGGGCAGTTAAACTTTTGGTATAAAATTGGCTTGAATATATTGGATGGGATGTAAAGGAAAGAAATTGAAGGCTGAACGAAGTTGGAATTCAATGAGACATAAGGCATACTTGACAGATTTTTTTTATATGCCACATTTCCCCTATACAAATTATTTGTGTATGAGGAAAAGAGTATCTAAATTCCTCCTGCTCTGTAACAGAAATGGGGGCTCAGTGAAGCTAATGACCATTGCATCCACTTGGAGGTAGTGCCAGGCCAGGATCCCCGACTTCTGAATACTCAGAAGTAAACAGTTTCACACACAGAGAGTGAGCCTGCCATGTTTTGAGAGTTAGAATAGGGCAGTTTAGCTAGAATTAAGAGGTTGTAGAGAAAAAGTCTTAGGAAATCTGGACAGAGAAATAAACGAGAAATGGATGCAATGGCACACACTTAGGAGGTAGAGGCAGGAAGATCAAGGAGTTCAAGGCCACCTAAGGTCCCAGTCTAAATAAACAAAGAGATAAATTACAGAGTGCTTTAACTAGTGCAAATACAGAATTTAGATTCATCTGTGTAAGTGATTAATTTTTTTAAGCAATAAAATCCTTTTTAGAAAGAAAACTTATGAGGTCAATATGCACAATAAACTGAGAGGATGCAGTCTTCTGTCCCAAGCTCTTGAGCAGGATGATGAGGAACGGGACAGCAGCTGTCTGCGATGCAAGCCTGATGCACTTTCAAGTGTTTTAAGCCCTGATGATTGTATACACTATGCTGTCAGAGGAGAAAATGCAGCATCAGTTCGTTGCCTTCCCTTTTACAAACAGATGAAAGAAGGAAAGAAAAAGGTCCATTTAAAGAGTTTCCCTTTGGTCTGATTAGAAGCGACTGAAAGTGCTTAGGAATTTAGCCTTCATTCAAGGGCAGGAGGTCTTTGATGCCCCAAACTAGTGAGGAAGCAGAATCTTTTCCATTTAGTATAGTTAGTGGGAAGAAGTTCATGAACTAAATTTAGACTTTTAAACTCTTTCCAGGCTAGTGGAGGCAATTCTAATTAAGTGCTATACTTTGAGCATTAGGATTTCAACTGAATTTAAGCAAAAGGCTTTCCTTATGCTTTATTAAAAGCCACGAGAGTGAATCTTGAATAGCATGCGTGCCACCCACGGCAGACATTCTATTGTGTGTGGTTTTGACTGACAGCCTTTGTCCAGCTGCACTTGCCTAGGACCCTCTCCTGTGCGGCTTCTGTGACTGGTGATGCAAATGCGCCCGCCCTTTCCCAGAACACAGAAAGCCTGAGTCAGGCGGTGGCTATTAAAGCCCTGGGTCGAGCAGGGACAGGCACTTCCAGAATGAGGCTTCCTGGCTGGTACTGGCTGAGCTTGGCGGTCCTGGCTGCCTGTGGAGCGGCCCAGGCGCACAACCTGACCGAGGGGCTGGAGGATGTGAGCACCCAGTCCGCCTGCCCCGCAAGGCTGGAGGGCAGCGGGAAGTGCGAGGGCAGCCAGTGCCCCTTCCAGCTCACCCTGCCCACACTGACCCTCCAGCTCCCGCGGCAGCTTAGCAGCTTGGAGGAGGTGCTCAAAGAAGTGCGGACCCTCAAGGAAGCCGTGGACAGTTTGAAGAAATCCTGCCAGGACTGCAAGTTGCAGGCTGACGACCATGGAGAACCAGGCGGGAATGGGGCAGGGATGGCCACAGACAACCGAGTCCAGGAACTGGAGAGTCAGGTGAACAAGCTATCTTCGGAGCTCAAGAATGCAAAGGACGAGATCCAGGGGCTGCAGGGGCGCCTGGAGACGCTACATCTTGTAAATATGAACAACATCGAGAACTATGTAGACGACAGAGTGGCAAATCTAACGTTTGTGGTCAACAGTTTGGACGGCAAATGTTCCAAGTGTCCCAGCCAAGAATACACCCAGCCACAGCCCGGTAGGTGTAATGAGCTTCTTATTATTTGTTCCTGGAAGCTGTATAGCAAGATAGTGGCCATAAACATTAACCAGAGGGAGTAAGTTAATAAGCATTTCATCGGTTGGTTACGGCAGGAAAAACAAGTACTTTCTCAAATGAGAAGTGGTAAAGGATCTAACTACAAAAATTCTATCAGTTGTATCCACTAGAGACACTATAGCAGCTAGTCTCTAGAGAGTCCATGCTAGTTGCCCCACCCACAAGCTGAAGCAGATTCCCCAGGGGGCTAGTGCTAAAGTTCCTGGCTGTGTTCTTACCTAGGTCACTGACATCAGGTGTCCAGTGGCTTCTGGCCACAGTCACAGCAGCAGGTGGTCTTTGAGAAATTTTCAAAAACAATCTGCTCTGCTTGGTTCTCAAATACCAAGTGAGAATGGGACATGTTATACAGAGAATAAAAGCAGCTCCATGTGCAAAGCTTTTGGGTTTGAGACTTTGTGGCACATCCATCCTCACCATCCTAATTACTTGACTTTAACACTGATACTGTTTTTAAAAACCACAGACTAGCAGCCTACTGTGCTCGTCGCATAGTTTTGCTTGATTCCTGAGTTCCCAGGACCCTTGTTGATGGTATTGCCACACCCTAGAAGGCCTCCTCTCTGTTAGGATCTGTGCTCATCCTGACTGTGAGGTTAATGGGACACAGTAGCAATAATTTTCATGGTGTCAAAGACCACTGTCACCAATGACCCTGGCAGCCTGGATGAAATTCACCCTGCATATTACCAGGTAGACATTGATGTTTTAAGTGATATCACAGGGTGTATATTAGATATGGCATTGTACAGTAACTTGTAATGATAAAAAGGATTCTATTATTTACTTTTCTCCTAAAAGTTTTAGGACATGAAATATTATGAGTTCTAAATACACACAAATAGGTTTTTGTGCCTCACAAGAATCTTAAATAATTTACCAGACTCAAATTTAAAAAAAAATTAACTGATCTCTGATCTCTACAAAACCCTGTTGACTGTTTACACTGAGCATAATCACCCTGATGCTTCTTCTAGAAAACAGACTGGCTATACCTTTCTGAATAATACATTCAGAATAATATTATTGGAAAGCATTTTTTTTAACTTGACATCTTTATGGTTGTCAGGTAAAATGAGAGTGGGTTTCTGGGCAATGCTGTGCAATGAAGGTTGATGCTTCTTTGGGAACACAGTCCATAGCCTTTGCTGACTGTGTCTAGAGTGCAGTCCTAGGAGACTAGGACAGAGGATATCAATGGTATCCTCTCTGCCAGAGAACAAGCTCTCTGCCAGGCAAGTCTGACTTTATGTCCTAGCTCTTAACACTTGTTCTGAGTGTGAAGAATCACCAACCTTCTTTGAGGAGAAGTGACTTTATTATAAGCAAACTGGCAGTAAGTAACACCTACCTCACAAGGTTGGTATGTGGATTTAGTGCAAAACTATTAGTGTTGGTAGTTTCTGGAGGTAGCTGGTCCTCATTAAACCTCGCTTATACTTACTTATCCTATTGTTGTTTGTTGTTAGTGTTGTCACCATTGTTACCAACCATGTTAGTTCTAAGGCCTTAATATCTGTTAACAAGGTCCAGGTGAATATATTAGAGCCTGGTTCTATGATTAACATTAACTAACTTATCAAATTGCTTTTGAGTCTAAGGATTCTTCAGATGCATAGCTTTTGTTAACAAAATTCCATGTTTTCCTTTCTTTCCTCTTTCAGTGCAACATCTAATATACAAAGATTGTTCTGACTACTATGTAATAGGAAAAAGAAGCAGCGAGATCTACAGAGTTACACCGGATCCCAGAAATAGTAGCTTTGAGGTATACTGTGACATGGAGACCATGGGGGGAGGCTGGACGGTGCTTCAGTCTCGCCTTGATGGAAGTACCAACTTCACCAGAGACTGGAAAGACTACAAAGCAGGCTTTGGAAACCTTGAACGAGAATTTTGGCTGGGTAATGATAAAATTCATCTGCTGACCAAGAGTAAGGAAATGATTTTGAGAATAGATCTTGAGGACTTTAATGGTGTCACACTGTATGCCTTGTACGATCAGTTTTACGTGGCTAATGAATTTCTCAAATATCGATTGCATATCGGTAACTATAATGGCACAGCAGGAGATGCCTTACGTTTCAATAAACATTACAACCATGATCTGAAGTTTTTCACCACCCCTGACAGAGACAATGACCGGTACCCCTCTGGGAACTGCGGGCTCTACTACAGCTCAGGCTGGTGGTTTGATGCATGTCTCTCTGCAAACTTAAATGGCAAATATTATCACCAGAAATACAAAGGTGTCCGCAATGGGATTTTCTGGGGCACCTGGCCAGGCATAAGCCAGGCACAGCCTGGTGGCTATAAGTCCTCCTTTAAGCAGGCCAAGATGATGGTTAGACCCAAGAATTTCAAGCCGTAAATTGTTACTGTTCATCTCTGCAGGCACTGCAGTTCTTTCTGCCCTTTACCATATATTCCTTTCCTGTGGCTAAAACATTCCCTTTTAATCTCACAGCTTTTGAAACAAAGCTAAAAATATCTAAAAAGACTAATGTGTTGCTGCTATACAAAGAATGCTTGTAAGCTCTGGAGATATTAACAATTATATGTTCTATCTGCAAATGTTTTAATTTTCATTAGTTGAAAAAGTTCCCTATTATATTTATTAATTTTACAATTAAAAAACTAAATTATTCAGCATGCTAAATTCTATATAAACAACTTTTATTTTCACGAGGGCTAAACTTGCATATTTAAAAATACATCTTTTCAGGTCAAAGCTGCTCATGTATCTGAATGTGGCCAAGAATTGTAGTATTTTTTTTGCACCAAGAGACCTTTTAAGTTCTTAAAAAAGACACAGGGAGATAATATGTGTAGCTAAACTTATTCATGTAATATTCATAAAATGTATAATATGGCATTAAAATGTCTTAAAATGAAGTTGCATAATATGCTTCTTCCCTATCCAAATAGGAAAAAGATGTAGCCCTAAAGACTTTGGTTGAGTAGTAATTCATTCACTGCTTATAACCTGTTAGAACCTGGTGGAAAGCTGCTTTATTGTCAGCCTCTGCTCTATGTGCACAATAGTTTTTAATGTAAGGTGCTAGACTACTGTAAGACTTTCTTGAGGAAAGGCACAATAGCGGGATAAAACTTTTAGACTTTGAAAGCCAATTCTACACCCAAAGCAATACTACTGTTGAGGCATCAACTTCCTAGGAGACTGAATTTTCTAGAATAAATTTATTTAAGATGAATTTTGAAGTAATAGTTCAAATTTTATACACTGCAATACAAAATTAATTGGATTGCGTATTTCAGTCTCAGAAATTCAAAGAATATACATATGCCAAACATACGTTCTTAGAACTTTTAGAATTTCTTTATTGTAGAATGCTAAGGATAATATTAAAAGGTGTTAGGAACAGTTTTATTTTGTCACTGTGAAAAGGGACCATTTCAGAGAGAAACGACTGGCTGCACATTTTAAGAGGCTTGAGTGGAACTTGAAGTGCTATGTAGTCAGTCATATGAAGAAACTGGCTGTACAGTATGCAATGTGTAGGCAATGACTGTGATCTATAAATTTTTGGTATGGTTTCTAATAAACTAACCAAGCTTTAAAATATATTTGCAAAAATTCAACCTTTTTTTTTTTTATAACAATTAAGGAGAAGAGCTGTTGACTTCACTACTTACATTTTCAAATATGTAGCCATTGTAGAAAAAAAACCTTTAAAAGGTGAATGATATTTTAAAAATATGAAACATGAAGTTTTCATGTAAATACAATAAAATTAATCTATTATTAATATAATTAAATTACCAGAGTAATTACCTAATTTACCTAATTACCAGAGTAATAAGGTAAATAAATGCTGAATTAAGTGACCAAATGTAAAAGATAGATTTCAAAGACTGTTCACCTACTTGGTACAATATTAAATGTAAGTGGCATAATTGATTTTTTTTCCTTTTAAAAAATATCAAGATTTTTATATTATACAACATATGTTTCAAATTCTGTCTACTATATGTAACTGTATAAGTCTAAAAACATTTAAGTCATAAAAATGGACTGATGATGATAGCCAAGAAAAGTATATATTCATGTATAGTGTGTCTTTTTCAGGAGAGTTTGGTAAATAACAGTGAATCCATGTACATTATCTTTGCACATTCAATGGATTAATATATTGTTTTTTATTATACTCTTATGGTAGTTTTCTAATGAACTCTTTAACACAGAAATTTATTTTTGAAATCATTTTCTGTCACTCATTTAAAAGTATATTGTAGACTTATAATATTTAACCTGTTTATTGAAATAGTCCTTTGTCTTAACTATTCACCAATAAATGTCAACGTTCATAAATGTACAATATTTGCAAATATATATTTTTAGAGTTTTGGTTTCATTTGGGTGACTAACACTGATTTAATTACTACTTTATTACTGAACATTATTATCCTTTAAAATTGCTGAGTGAAGCTATTTTTAAATTTAAATTAAAAATAATCTATTTTGCATACCAATCCCAGTTCCTTCTCCTGCCTGGCCTCCCATGCTCCCACCATCTCTGCATCCCACCCCTATCCACTCCTTAGAGAGGGGGTGAGGCCTCCCATGGGGGATCATCAAAGTCCATTACATCATTTGGGGTAGGACCTACGCCCTCCCCCATGTATCTAGGCTGAGAAAGTATTCCTCCCAAAGCCCATTCGTGCAATAGGAATAAATACTGATTCCACTGCCAGAGGTCCCATAGACTGCCCTGGTCTCCTAACTGATACCCACATCCAGGGGGTCTGGGTCAGTCCTATGCTGGTTCGCCAGCTGTCATACTGGGGTCCATGAGCTCCCTCTTGCTCAGGTCAGTTGTTTCTGTGGTTTTCCCCAGCATGGCCTTGACCCCTTTGCTTATTACTCCTCTCTCTATATATAACTGGATTCCAGGAGTTCAACTCAGTGTTTAGCTGTGGATCTCTGCCTCTGGTTTCTTAAGCTACTAGGTAAAGGCTCTAGGAAGGCATTTAAGGTAGTCATTAATCTCAAATAGAGGAAGAGCAGTTAAGGTAGCCTTTCCACTATTGCTTAGATTCTTAGTTGGGGTCATCTATGGATCTCTGGACATTTCCCTAGTGCCAGATTTCTCTCTAAAACTATAATGGCTCCCATGCTTAAGGTATCTCTTTTCTTGCTCTTTCTCTATTCTTCCCCCTCTTCAATTTTCCTGATCCCCTATATTCTCCTCTGCTGATCCCCCCTCCCATGCTCCCAATTTGTTCAGGAGATTTTTCTCTTTCCTCTTTTCCAGGTGTTGATGGAAATCTCTCTTAGGGTCCTCCTTGCTTCCTACCTACTCTGGGGTTGTGAATTGTAGGTTGGTTATCCTTAGCTCTATGCCTATACCATGTTTTTTTTTTTTTTTTCTGGGCCTGGGTTACCTCACTCACTCAGTATGCTTTTTTATAGTTCCATCCTTTTGCCTGTGAACTTCAAGATTTCATTGTTTTTTGGTTTTGTTTTTTGTTGCTGTTGTTGTTTGTTTTTTTTTCTGTGAGTACTACTCCATTGTGTAAATGTACCACATATTTATCCATTCTTCAGTTAAGGGGCATCTAGGCTGCTTCCATGTTTTGACTATTACAAACAATGCTTCTATGAACATAGTTAAACAGATGCCCTTGTTGAATGAATGGGCATCTTTTGGGTATATGCCTAAGAGTGGAATTGCTGGATCTTGAGGTAGACTAATTCCCATTATCTGGAGAAACTGCCATACTGATTTCCAACGTGGCTATACGAGTTTGCACTCCCACCAGCAGTGGAGGAGTGTTCCCCTTTCTCTACACCCTCTCCAGCATAAACTGTCTTTGATGTTTTTGATTTTAGCCATTTTGACAGGAGTAAGATGGTATCTCAGAGTTGTTTTGATTTGTATTTCCCTGATGGCTAAGGATGTTGAGCACTTTCTTAAGTGTCTTTCAGCCATTTTAGATTCCTCCATTAACAATTCTCTATTTAGTTCTGTACTCCACTTTTTAATTGGATTATTTGGTACCAGCTTCTTGAATTCTTTGGAGATCAGCCCTCTGTCAGATGTGGGGTTGGTGAAGATCTTTTCCCATTCTGTGGGCTGTTGTTTTATCTTGTTGACTGTGTCCTTTGCCTTACAGAAGCTTCTTGGTTTCAGGAGGTCCCTATTGATTAATTGTCGATGTGAAACTAAAATGTTTTAGGAATTCGGCAGACACATCTGTCACTAATGAGAAAGACTTTGTGCTGAGAAGCAGTAATAAACCAAGCGTGTTCATGTTTCTGACTTATAGAGCTTGCATATGCAAAGCATAAGAAGCATCTGAACCACAATACTGGCTGCTCCTTGATTGTCAGTAGCTTCCCCTCACCTCTCAAAAAAGTGTTAAAGGTAAAATGGATGTATGGAATTGCAACAAACTTTTGTTTAAAAATTTTTTTCATTGATATGTAATTAAGGTTATGTTTCATGTCTCTTTAAAGCCTTGTAAAACAAAAATTTAATCTTCATATCTATCCTTCAACATGGAAACATTGTTTGTAAACACACACACACACACACACACACACACACACACACATATAATACATATTATCTGAAAAGTTGAATTTATTTACCTAGTCTAGATAATGGTCTTGTGTCTTTACAAAAACACTATTATTTCTTTAAAAGAAAGTAAGGCAGCTAGAGGAATACCATTATCTGTTTCCTTTTAGAATGTTGTCAACACATCCTTAATACAGAGTTGTCAGTTTTCTGGTCTGACATTTAACTGTTCTCCTTTTTCCTATCATTGATGTTATGGGTGGGTTCAGCACTCCTTTCCCTTACCAAGGTCTTCATCTCAGACTCTGAAGAGCCAGAAATGAGAAAACAGATGCGCTTGGAAAACCCAGAATACTCCGCTTCCCAAACATGACTGAGTCTCTCTTACAGCTTGAGGTGTCCCGTCCTTCATGTTTGTTGAGCTCCTTTTGTCGGCCTGGAAGACACTGCTGCTTTCCTTGCTGAAGGTCTGGTTTCATTTCTCCAGGTCCCTTCATCCTACTCATCAGAACCCACCAATCTTTAGCAAGGGCATGCTCTTATATCAGGCATAATATCACACGGAAGGGGAAGACTTGGCACATCCTTGCCAGTTTAGCAAGAATGCTAAGGAAGACATTTATAGATGGATTTAGAGGTAGTTTGAGAAGAAGAGCAAATTTTAGAAGTAAATGAGTTTGTCAGCACATGTACATTCACCAAAAATAATCTACTCAAAGATGACTCAAGAAGAAATGTTGTGTTCTAATAGTTGCCTCCCTAATTAACATAAAGCTATACTCAATAGCAGCTTATATTAATAAAGCAGAGAAGCCAGAAATGTCTTAAAACTCAAAGATTTATGGAGGTAATAAGTCTGTGTGGAATTTGCCTTAATTCATTCAACAGATACCTGTATGTGTTCCAGAAAGTCTCCTTGTAGGATAGAGGTGTACCACTGACCAACACATAAACCCTGCTCTCCAAGATTAACCAGGAGAAACTTTGATGACAACAAGCAAGCAAATGTAGGAGGATTAGAGGAGGTGGTGCTAATTAGTCCAGGGTATGGAGGGGAGGCCTCTCTATGGTGAGGACATGTTAACAGGAATGTAAAGAAAGGAGTAAGAAAGTTGAGAAAACAACTGAGAAGAGCAAGTTCCAAGCCAGGGGAACAAGAAGCATCAGTGTTTGGAGTCTGTGGAGCAGCAAAGGGACCCATGTGTGAAAAGCAGAATCTAGCCTGCTGGGGTCCAGAAAGTAACACATTAATGAAAATAAAAGGGCTGCAGGTGAACAGAGGGGAGGGCCAGTGACAGGGTGCCCAGACCTTGTGGGACCACAGCTCCAAGCCACTGAGGCCTTGTAAACCAGGAAGCCTCTCATTCTGAGTATATAGGAAAGTGACAGCTTTGAACAGAGGAGGGATGCCACCCCCTCCAGTTGGAAAAGACTGGCTGTCTTCTGTGGATACAGGGTTTTCCAGTGTGATAGTGCTTACACTATGCTGCAGAAAGATGAAGAAAGCACAGGAATCAGTGTTTACTGTGAAGTCTGTCTGCTTTGAGGTAGATCAGGCAAGATTTGATAGTCAAAGTCAGTTGTGGGTAGCAGAAAATAAATAAATAAAACAAAATACATAGAAGTGTCACTTCAAACCTCAGAATTTCAGACTGAGTAACTCTGGGAGATGGAGCCATCATTACCTGAAATGATGGAGTCACCTGCAGAAGGAATCTGATGAGTGTGCAGGAAGTGGAGTAGAGGGAGGGTTGGCACCTGCAGACAGAACACGTGAACTTCAAATACCTCCAGGTGGAGACTGGCCTTTGGCTTTAGTCTAGAGTTCAGGGAGAATACTGAGGGTTTAGAGATGCATTTGAGAATGCATTTAGAAATATAATTGAGCCCAGGTACAGATGTAATGAACTCATGGGACCAGAAAAGATAACCTAGTAAATAAGTGAGCATGGAACACAGATTTTTTTTCTGCAGGAGCCTGGACAAATCCACCTTGCAAAGAGGTTGGGGGTAAGGAGTAGCCAGGATTCAGCTTTCTTATGATTGCACTGGAGAGATCTCAGGGATATCTCCATCAGAAGGTGGAATTTCACTCCCACTGGAAAGCATATATATCCTAGATTATGTTAGTTTCACATTTGCTTTTTATGACAGCAAAGAGTGCCTTCTTGTTGATTCTTGTTATATGCCTTAGATAACACTACATTGCTAGCAACATTCTTTTGTTGAATTAATTGCTGTCTTAAAGACAAGTGTGGTGTTTTACAATGGAAAATATTTATTTGACTTAGGAAATCATCCATCATGAAATGAGGAGCAATGACCTATCAGAGCCTCAGATTCTGTTCTTCTGGGACATATCTCCTTGTCACAAGAGAGTGCTGTCATGCTGAATACTGTGTGTGTGTGTGTGTGTGTGTGTGTGTGTGTGTGTGTGTACATGTGCACACATGCATGAATGAGCATGTGCGCACACGCATGTGTATGCACATATGCATACAGCAAAAGAAACAAGAATTTGCCTACAGAGAAAAGACCTCCAAGTTTGTTGACAATATACTTACTATCTAGTTTGACAAATCATTTAATATCATTGGGGTATAATGTTATGATTATGAATAGTTTAATAGGTATTAGTTTTTATTCCTTTCCTCTTTTTTAGAGATATCAGTGATATTGATTATTTCTTTCACAAGTATTTTATGAAAGTTACCCAAGTTAGAGATAGCTTAAACTCAAATTCCTAGCCACCCTCATAGTATTAACACTGAATGAGGATGACATCAAAT